ACGTCTGTTTTATCTCAATACAGTGAAATATCTGGCGTGACAGTGAACGTGTTAATAAGTAAATGTTGTTCAAATTATGTCGTGTTTGATGTCATTTTCATCAGAAAAATCTCATCAATATGTTAAGAAAAATTTCAGGATAAAAAAACGTAAAATTAAAATAGGTTGCCTCGACTCACGTTTCATCCTTATCTTTTATTCGCTGTCCTTGTCTACGTTTGACAAACTATAAAGCCGGGCGAGAGGCTCGAAAACGTAGACCCTGACTCTACAAGTGTCAGGTTTAGGTTCCTTGCGTACTGACACTTGTGGAGAATTTACTGTACAGTAGAAAAGAAATATTTGTAAAAGGAGTTTCCTTCCATCTGGTTCACCCTTTGAAACCATTTGGATTACGTATGAAAACTTTCTCGAACCACCCTAACATAGAGAAGGGAATTAGATGGCCCCACCCTGTACGTAGGATAGCTCCTTGGAAGCGGAAAAGAGTATTCTTGAAACGGAATAAGCACAAAACTAGAATAAAGTGGCAAGAATTTAGCACTATTAATTAATATTATTTTCTGTAATTGTATATTTTAATGTGAGTTTTTAACATCGCTTCAGAGCTTTGGCGAAATTTTATTACCGCTATTAATGTATATTTTTATTATTATTGTTACTGGTTATTTTCATTATTATTGAATAGGTAAGAAAATTGAATTACAGTTATTTCAGTTTATTAGAAGGTTAGAATTAACCTTCGCTAAAATTATTAATGCTATTTATCAACTTGAAGACAAATAATAGGCCAGGACTAGTCCTACTTGTTCTATATTATTAGGTCGTTAACTATGTTCTGCGGATCCCTGGTGCAAGGTGATCAGGGAATACAGAGTTTATATTTCACGCCGATTTGTTTTGTTTCTCAAAAGTTAGCTATTCTACTATAAGAAAATATGTCGACACATCACTCCCATCAGATGACATTCGAACACGAATTACACACCAAGACCTCGTTGTTGCATTACACCATATCGAACAACAAACATGGAATAATATACGGAGCACCTCTAAAAAAACAAAAACACATGACGTAACCCAAGACTTCTACCAAACAATGTCAAGCAACAATATGAAAAGGAAAGACAGAATAATCATGACCAGGCTTAGAACAGGACACTGCAAACTTACACATGAGTACTTAATTTAAAAAACAGAACCACCAACGTGTAACGGCTGTAAGCAAATTATACCAACCAACCACCTTACTATTCGAATGCAGAAAATACCACACCCAAAGACAAAAATATAAAAAAAACACATGACGTAACCCAAGACTTCTACCAAACAATGTCAAGCAACAATATGAAAAGGAAAGACAAAATAATCATGACCAGGCTTAGAACAGGACACTGTAAACTTACACATGAGTACTTAATTTAAAAAACAGAACCACCAACGTGTAACGTCTGTAAGCAAATTGTACCAACCAACCACCTTACTATTCGAATGCAGAAAATACCACACCCAAAGACAAAAATATAAAATAACATCGATAACGGCCTTGACGTCACAGAAACACGTAGAAAATACCTTAAACTATCTAAAGGACGTAACATCTACCACAACATATAATCGGATAGAAACGAAGAAAACAGGACCTAGTCGTCGCTAATGACCTGAAGATCGATGCGACGTAAAACTCGAAATAAAACAAAAAAAAAAAAACAAAAAAATATGTCGACAAATTCAATCCTCTAGGCAAAAACATTTGTTTATTTTGATTTAAAGCGAGACCTGAGAAGGAGCATATCGGTCGTTGAACCTTTACTTTGAAGGAAACGGCAGTATAAACAAAACAATGGACTGGAGAAACCTATGGTAGTAGTGTTGTTTCTGCAAACACATATGAGAGATGGTTTCAACGGTTCAAAAATGGCGATTTCGACTTGAGAGACAAAGAACGTGTTGGCTGCACGCTGCTAAAAACCACCACCAAAAGCACGCCGAAGTTAAGATGGGAAGTTCTTCCTCACCCTGTCTACTCTCCAGACGCCGCACCTTCGAATTATCGCCGGTTTCGTTCGATGCAACGCAGTCTGATAGGACAGCACTTGAAAAATCATGATGAAGTAAGAAATTGGGTCGATAACTACTTCGCTTCCAAGGAACCTGTATCTTTCCACCGTGGAATCCGATGAATCTTGCCAGAGAAGTGGGAAAAGATCATTCAAGCTGTTGGTCGTTATTTCGAAAAGAAGTTATTTCGAGGAAAAGAATTGTAATAGTATTATTTCAATAAATATTTTAAGGCAAAAGATCCACAGAGCACAGTCAACGAACGTAATACTTAGCTATTTAGTTCGAAGGAACAAATGTCGAGGGTCAAAAAGAAAAGAACTTGCACGTCTAGCCAGTTCCTCCTATTATGTACCTACTGTTCGGTTTGTCCCATAAAGAGGCACAGGTAATAAAACATTGGTACTTGTTCATTTGGAATTCGCGTAGCAGATCTCTAGCTGCTTTTATTCTGGGAACCCGTAACCGCTCGTGATTGGCTCGTAATACCTGGCGCAATGCAGCCTCCTCTGCTTTGTGATTCCTCGATCTTTCTTCTCTCGAACCTTCCTGATGCATCCAGTTGCAATATAAAACTTCCACATCTGTTCAACGTTATTGTTAAAATTACCAAGAAAAAAGATTCTCTTACCCCTTTCACAGTTAAAGGGTTAAAATTCTTCTGGAAAATTAAGACCACAATTCTACTTTTCTCTACCTAAAAGAAAAACCCTCTAAAATTATCGGACACTTGTTAAAAATCGCTAAATTAAAATTGCTATTCTTCAACGAAAGAAAATTACCCTCTGATTTAGAATAAAAATTACAACTCTGTTAAAATGAAAATCATTAGAATCGCTAAAATCGCTATCCTCCGATAAGGGAAAATTACGACCCTGTCAGAAGCTTCCTTTAACTGGTTCACAGCGATCAATTATCACTCTGAGTCAGACGCGTAATTTTCACCAGGATTTTCGTGATAGCAGTCATCAATCACACAGAGGCGATATCGACTTTTATATCACGAAAACGACCGATCGATACACTATCGACGATGGCACACAAGTCGTTTTACGTCGACTGTGTTTCGACGGCGGCAGCGAACGTGTCAAAAAATTTCACAAAATACAGGGTGTACCAAAAATCAGTCCCATATTTTAATTGACTGCTACTCTGATAAGACGCAATATTTCACAGTTGTGAACATTACCTTCAGAAATGTCCTTACAAAATGCACTCTAAAAATCTGGAATTCATGTCGCGAATAGAAACAGCCATCTTCATGATACCGTTCTCCATGCTTAACTTCCAAGCTTCAGTAGCCAATTTTTGTTTAAAGATAACACTTATATTTTTGTTGATCCGAACCTTAATAAATTAGCATTATTCATACAATTGTATTTTATTTCATCAGAAATTGAAATATTTCACTGAAAGGCAACTCTGTTTTCTTAGGAACAACTTACTCCAATGCTCTAACAACTTGCCCCACAACGGAGTCAGAATTTACGCTTCGCCGAGTTGCAAATAAATGACTCCCTACGAAAGACTAATTACAATATGTTAAATGTAAGCTCGGAATCTTAAAGCACGATAAGTGTAACGATAGATTAGTCAACATTGAAGATTATAACTACATTATAGTCAAAATTGTAACTTTTAGCCCCAGTCTCCCCTACACATAAAAGAATTCACCCTCTTTCATTTCTTCTGCAAATTACTCAAAACTAAAGTACAGAACTGATTCGCAGGACACCCGGTACATTAAAAACCACGCAACCGTCACCAATCGAAACCACTCCTAGGATCGCTCTATCGCAAGCGGAGGCTAGAAACAGAGTCCAGAGAAGATCGAGCGTGCAACACGGGTAGCCTCTAAGAAGAAGCAAGGTTCGTGACACCGGTGGACGTATTAAAGGGGCTCGTTAAAGGTCCGTCTCTCCGGTCGTTAAGCATTGTTTAGCCGCTGCTGGACACGCAGAGGCCCCGTTCTACCGCGAGAGACCAGTCCTCCCCGGTCCGATCCAGCCGTGATCCTTTACGGAGGCAGAGCAAGAGACGTGGCGAGGGGAAAAAAAATGAAATAGAAAGTGGTCTGTCCGGTGCACATGGTGTACAGTTCGTGTGGAGCATTCGCGAGGCGCCTCCTCCAGGACCCTTAGAACCTCCCCCCTCCCCCTGACCTGTTCCTGTTCCAACCACGCACTATAGCAAATCCGCGATGCTCTCTTCAAGCCTTCCGCGGCATTGTGCTCGCATTTCTCGTGCGGTTGTCGACTCGGAAAGTATCTTCTGGCTTAAGTCGTCGGTAAGTCCGGCTGCAAAGTTCGCGTGCAAACTTCTATCACTCTCCGAGAGACAGGGGTATAAGTGATCTCTGGGTTAAATCTTCTGGCTGCAGTTCTCTAATTCTTCTTTTTCCCCGCTAGTCTCTTCTTCTTCTTCTTCTTCATTCGGTGGTCGATCTCTATTTTTCTCCGAGGGGCTGCAAAAGTTCGACTCTGTTGCTTTGCCGAAAGCGAAAGGTCTGGTGATCCTCTTCAGGTACTGAGCTTCTCCAAGTTTCTGAACACAGTGATTCACAAATTCTCCAATATCTTCTACTGTTTCTTGTCTATGCTTTCTGGCGTTAATTTTGACGGAGGAGATAAGTACAGTGGTCATCTTCTCCAGGAGGTTCTCCAAATTTTCGAGTACCTTCTTCTTCGAGCTTGCTTCCTTTGCGCGCTGTTTCGACGTGGTTTCACTTTGTCGGGACGTAGGAATTCTACGGTATTTACTTCGTGCCTGATTGGGATGATTAATGACTGTTGCGAAAGAGTGGCTGGCTGAAAGAAAGGAGAACGCCAGGTGACGTTTAGAACGTCACGCGTGACGCGTGAGAGGTGACACTGGTCACAGGCTTGCGGTCAGTTGAGCAATCTCGCCTTCTGGAAGGCTCTTCCAACTCGTATCGCTTTGTTTCTTCGGAGTTTTCCTTCTTTACGCCTTCAGTGAACGTCAGTGTTTCTCGGTGTGTTGACAAACTAGAGACGTTCGTTGTGCTGGTATAATTTGATCCAAGAGAACTTTTGTCGATCGAACGTTAACTTCGTAGAATCTCTAATATTTTTTCGTCGTTTCTTTTTACAGGGTCAATCAAACTTTCGGACCTCGTCAAAAATTGTCATTGAAATTTTTTAACTACTTTCGGTAAGATGACGAACTTCCTGGCCCTTCTGGTGGTCTCCTTGGCTTGCGTAATTGTCCACGCCCAACAAACATCGAATCAGAAACGTAAGTAAAGTCTGTCCGACGAGAACGTTTGCTTACAACGAATGTCTTATTGATTTTCTACTTGTACGCCGAGATTGCATTAAACAAATCTCGTTGTTTGTCACGGATGAAGAAGTTTTCCGTTTTTAATTTATTCCGAGAGTGTAAGTCAATACTATGTGCAAACATAGTCACGTACTTACGATCAATTTCCATTGTTTCTTCGAATCGTTTGTTTGTGTGTACGTCTTATTGAAATATTCGATTTTACTTTAGCTCGAAATATTCTGAAATGTGTAATTTTAGATATTATTTTCATGTGAAATATTCCACGTGGTTTCTATTTCTTTGGTTCTCTTTTGTCGAACGTTTTTCAGCTGTTTTTGGACAAACGTTCGACGAAATCGTGGTCTCATCGGATCTGAACGTCAGAAGAAAGTCCAAGGAGAGCCGTCAGGGTAAAAGACTAACAAACATACCTTCGGGAACCACTGGACAACCTGAAAAATCTACCGCAGTCGCGTCCAGATTCGTTTCCAGCGATGGCACTCGTATCGCCTCGGAAAAAACGCAAAAAAAACGCGAGATTTCGAATTTGCAAAAGAGGTGAGAGCTACTGAAGAATTACAAAGTGGCTCCTGCTGAGAAATTTGAGAGAACCGAGTGTTAATATTGGAAAATTCGTTTGTTCTTAGGTATTTAGACATGGGCGTCGCGGGATACTTGCTGAAATCTCGGAAACGATGAAAATTCCACTCCGAGGACAACCGCACGATCCTCACACACCCATTCCGACCATACATTTCGGACTTCTTTCGGACCATGGCTCATGTAACAAAAAGAATAATAAAAATTTTCTGTGTCACAGCAATACACTCTGTATATTCTCACTCACACCTGTTCCATTTCATTTTCAATTTACACGCCTTTTAAGCAACTTCAAATCTTATCCATTTAAACTAAAAAAGAATAGTATAAACTTGCGAAATTTTTAGATAAAAATGAACAAGTATTCGGTGGTACGTGCAAGTTTGAAAAATTCGAAGTTTAAGCGACGAAACTTTCAAATTAAGCCGGAGCATGATTAATCGAGAGCGTCCTCGATTGCAAATGAGAAAAATCAGGATGCTAAGTGAAAGTCTGGCGAAAACACGGTTCCCTTGACGCGCGACTGAAAGATGGCGTGCGGTGCCGTTTAAAATTTCAAATCGTTCGACGCGCCGCTCGTTTCGAATGCACCCTACCGCACAGTTTCCACAATACGAGCGACGTCGACATTGTCAGGCATTCCGTGTCCGTCGTTGTGAGTTGAAAAAATCGGCTTGCGCTGAAATATGGCAGGCCGTTGCTCAAAAGGCAGCCGCCATCGCGATCCCCGATGCAACGATGCACCGCGCAGATCTACCGCGCCGCGAGTCACGTGACGCTGTCCGGTGGCACGTGACACGAACGTCCAAAACCTTTCGGGACATCGCGTCGCCTGTTCTTTTTCCTTTTCTCCAGCGATTTTTCCACTGAAATCCACGAATCTTCGCTCTCACCGCTCCTTTGTCTTGACCCTTAACCCTTTTCTCCTGTCGTTCGATTCGCGGTTGAAATAATCGAGGAAGCAGTTGAACATTGTGAAACTTTTTTCCATTGTTAAATAGTTTCGAGTGTGTAGAATAAGATATCGCGAAAATTTTTACAAAATTCGAAAGGTTGACAAAGTTACAGAATTTTAAAGAGCACAGTGTCACACAGCTAATTATGTTTTCGAGATAACTTATATTTTCAAGTGTTTCTTTTTGAATATCTGAAAAATTGATAATCCAATTGATCTGAAATTTCCTTTCGAAAATTTTTCTATTACAGTATGAACTCTATAGTACGATATTTGCCTTCACTATACACTGGCGTCTTCGAACAACAGATTTTATTCATGCAAGGGAAGGGAATCACGTATTCCACTCGTCATGCCCGACTAGCACTATATATTTTATGGTGAATCCGTGGTCAGACTTATAGCCACGCTGACGTAACAAAGTGTTCGTCATACTTTTGATTTGACGTCGTTGCTGTTATCAATGTCCAGCTTGGACGTTGATTTAAGGCTGCAAGTTCAAACGATCGCCTGGCTGGCGCCTCCAGGAAGCTCGTAAACAACCTGCTCGTCCTAGAAATTTCATTTTATGTTCCTCTTCACATCGAAGTACCTTTAAAACGACTACTAAACTCCTTAGATCCTTTTCAAATCATTTTAACTACAAATCCTCCCGAGGATTTCCGACAATGATAGTAAAACGGATTTAATTATAACTCGGAAATAAATCTTACTCTACTCCCAAGTTTCTCAATCAAGTTTCTAACACTTTCTTCTGAATCAGTTTTTAAGTTTTATTCGAGATTTAAATACAAAAGTACAGACTACGTTTCTTACAATTATTTTGTACTCTCATTTCCCAGTCAAATTTGCAGCTTCAAAAAATTCAAAGAAAATTATATTACCATTCGAATATCAACTCTGAGGTATCGAATTACTTCCAAATTTCTTCATGAAGCATTTTTTCAGACTTTATCCAAGATTCGAATGCAAAAGTATAGGCTACACTCTAATCTTCCAGTCAACTTTTCACCTTTAAAAAATTAAAAGAAAATTAAATCACCATTCCAAAATCAACTCTAAGATGCCAAATTACTTCCAAATATCTTCGGAATAATTCTTTTCAAATTTTATCCAAAATTCAAATACAAAAGTACAAACTACACTCTAATCTTCCAATCAAATTTTCATCCCCCAAAAAAAGAAAAGAAAATTAAATTAGCATTTCAAAATGAGCTCTAAGGTACCGAATATAATATTTTCTTCAAATTTCATCCAAGATTCAAATACAAAGGTACAGACTACACTCTAATCTTCCAATCAAATTTTCATCCCCCAAAAAAAGAAAAGAAAATTAAATTAGCATTTCAAAATGAGCTCTAAGGTACCGAATATAATATTTTCTTCAAATTTCATCCAAGATTCAAATACAAAGGTACAGACTACACTCTGATCCTCCAATCAAATTTCCACGTGCAAAAAATTCGAAGAAAATTAAATTATCATTCCAAAGTCAACTCTAAGGTACCGAATTACTCTCAAATTTCTTCAAGAACAATTTTACCTGTCTCCGTCGATCAGAGTACGGAAGTGCACACCCACACAGATTGAATCAATCCCGAAGAGGGCCTCGTCGATGTCTGACGGAGGGCAGGCAGGTGCAACACGGCCAGATCTTGTCCCGCATCGGGATGCAGAATCCGTACTCGCCGTTGCGAATACTCGCGGGCGTTTATGTCGGCCGGCTATACACCTGCGACTATTTTATGTCTTCCCTGGAAAGACTGGACAGTAAATTCCAGCCTACCCAGCCCCGTCGATCCCCTGACTGCTGATCAGAAAGATCAGTGGCGCGCAAAGGGAGTCGAAGGACGAGGAAACAAATCGATTCTTCGTCATTCTTCACCTTGTTGCTCGGAAACACCGTAAAGAAGTGATCGTTTTAAAACAATTTCCTCTTCGAACAATTCACGGCCAATCGAACGTGCACTTCGCGACGAAGAAGTTTCATTGAAATTCAAGATGAGAACCGTCCTGGGAGAACCTCTGTTAGCAAGTGTGTTCGTTATTAAGCACTCAACCTAGCGAATGGGTACGTTTCTTTCAGGAATTAGAACTCGAAGTGCCTCGTTGTTTCCATGGAAGTGAAACCAGTGATCCTCTAGTTGTTCATTCAGAGGAGATTGTTGCGATGTTGGTGAATAGGATATACAGAGGGAAACATCTGTCGGGGCCGTTTTATTCTGGAAATTTGCAAAATGAACGCAATCCACGGGTCCATGAAGATGTAACGCGGTCCTTCAACCCGTTGTCCTGGGCTTACCTGCCAGCTCTCCGTGATTCGTGTTCAAATAGGAGCGGCCACACGTGTACTCTGTGGATCTAGCGAGTGTCATCGTCCTTTCGGGCAAGCGGTTCGACAAAAAGAAGGAAACACCGAAGAAAAATTGACGAGAGTCGGCCAATTTACTGCATTTTTCAATAGGAAGTGAAATTTTCTTCGATGTCTAATTAAATTTCTACCTGTACTAGTTCTTTAATTATTTGTGCTAATTATTCTCGTGCTAATTACCAGTTCAACGGTGTGATCCAAAGAATTCTTTTCTTTCTAATTAGACTATTGTCAACAGTGTGATCCAAAGAATTGTTTCCTTTCTAATCATAGTATTGTCAACAGTGTGATCGAAAGAATCGCTTTCCTTTTAATCGGTGTATCGTCAAGCTTTGTATACCCGATCGTTAAATGGAAAAGGGAGAAAAAAGAAAGAGTAGCGAAGTGGCTAACAGGAAATCGATCGGGAGATATATTTCCATCGCGTTGCGGTTTTTTGCACAGGTAGGCCATTTTTACAGAAAAGCTGCATCCGTCGAGCGGCCGTGAGGTGTAAAATTATTTGCCCGCACGGAATTATTCCGAGAAACGATCTTGAATTAAACATCGCTATCCACGTGCCCCTTCACCATCGTCCCATGAGGGATTTCTATTGAATCGTAGATCATCCACCGGATTCACCGATCGCGAATTAGAAAATCAAAAAAGAGGTAGAGACCTACGGTACGTGTTTCTCCTGGCAAGAGACCCTCTAATTTCTTCCTGGAAAACGGGACTCGCGCTCTGGGCGTGCCGTTTCCTTGAACGGGAATCAGAATTATCGATGACTCGATCCTTTTCCTCTTTATTACCTTCGCATTTCTTGACCCAGAATTAGTTATCGATTAGAGTTCAATTCGCGAAATATCTGTTGAAGAGCGACTTTTACCAGAGAAACGTTGTTTTATAAAATGAAACTTTAGATACATTGTGTTTTTTCGAAAAATAATTTTCACAGGATTCTGTACACTTTTCCCAACGATTAACTAGTTTCGTTACTCTAAATTTATAAAAATCGTTAGTTTTTGAATGAAAAGATTCTTTGAATGTTGCCTTTACAGTGTCTTCATTTTGGAATTATTTATTTGTTAAAAAATTGCTCAGGTGTTTGAAGAAAGGTCTAATGAATAGGGAGGAATGGGCAAAATTTCATATTCTTTACCATGGATTGATTTCAATAATTTTCCTTAAAGGGGTATTCTGGTCTAGCGCGCGAGTTTCATTGCCATTTTTCAGAATTTTTTATGGATAATCAAAGTAAGTGTAGTACACGAAATTTTTTCTAATAACTTAATCGACCTTTTAGCAATACTTATATATACTTTTAGCGTGAAACAATAAGTGTAAGATGTCTGTATGAAGGCATGAAAATTGCGCGTACGTCTAATTGGTTGCCATGATTCCGTCCTTCGTAGACGTCAGAAACAAATAATTCAAAGAAAATTTCGTTCAGTAAGAACGTGGCTATCGTCTGAACCAAAATCATGCGTTAAAATTAATTTTTAGCAAAATGGCGCCATGTTAAGCAGAAAAGTCCTTTCAATGGTGAGATTAATTTCTTAATTACAAAGGCAATTTTGCAAATATCTTTATAATTTTGGTTCAGACAATAATGACGACATTTTTTAATATTCACGCAAAATTTCATTAACATCGGACACACCGTTATTGAGATATCGTGGCAACCATTTCACAAAGGAATATCCACGCAAAATTTCATTAACATCGGACACACCGTTATTGAGATATCGTGGCAACCATTTCACAAAACATGGTTTCGAGAAAATCGCGCTTAAAGTTTCAGTTTAAGTTTAGATACAATAAAGAGAAATTAGATGCACTCATATTCAATCAATAATATCTGCACTGTACAGCGATCCTTCCTCTTCTTCATAAAATTCCAACTGAGC